AAATTAATGTTGTATAGTTAAAATACACAACTTAAAATTAAAAAAAAAGTGCTAGACTTCTGAGATGCACTGTATTTCAGGATAGAAGAAAATTAGAGAAGATTTTCAACTTTCACAATAGGCTATTCACATCAAAATCTATTTTTATGCAAAGTTTCAAGTTAAAATTCAAAAATTATTTTTCGCTGTTTTCCTGAGATGGATCATGACATCGGGTTAACAAAATATCGTAAAAATGTATTATATTCTAAAGAGTTCAAAATATTTTCCGGATATTTATAGTTCATTAAAATCTGCATGACATACATAGTCCAGACTAATATGCATTTAAACCAGTGGGTAGACTTCCCCTACAGGATGTATATTAATAAAAAGTAAAATTTAATCAATAATGTCTACTATAAAAACTAAATTATAAAATTCACAAAAAGAACAACTAATATATAGTATTTAATTATAAGAGAGATAGTTAATGCAAAGCATTATCTAAGGAAAACAAACGTAAAAAAGATAATAACCTAATATCTTATTTCTTCTTGAGGCATCTTATGATTTTCTTTTTTTTCCTCAAAGCTATGTTTTAGGAAAAAAAAAATACTATTTAGTATGCAAACTTTTCTCATTCATGATTTGTCAATTGATGTATTAAATAGAATGAAAATCTAGGTAAATCAAGTTTTGTTGTTTTTTTTTGTCATGATAATATTCATATTCTATATTTAATACTCCTTTTTTTTTGTTGAATATAATTATAACACATGATTGGAGATCATTATTCTTAATTATCTATCATGCAATATTGACATTTAATTTATAAATAGCATGATCTATTATATTGATTTCAAATTCATTATTTTCATTACCCGGAATAGATTCAGCAAGTAGAAGTAATAGAAGAAAAAGACCAGAAAATATTGATATAGTTAAAATCATTTTTGCTGGTGATTCAGGTGGAATCCAAAAAACAACCATTGTTGCTGCAGATAAAAGTAAACATGGTAATATTAATAAATAACCATAAAGACCACCTTTTCGTTGAATAATTAATGTATATGTTAATAATGAAAATCCATCATCTGTTATTGTTTTTTCTGCTGGAAGTGCAACAACTTTCCATTCGTTTGAATTTATATATGATGTCATATCCATAGCTGATATATCTTCTTTAAATGCAAGCATTACTTTTGTATGATCATATGTCCATGAACGATATAATAATGAACATTGATGTATATCATAAGGAAATTTTGTTATATCAAGAAAACAAACACTAAATTGCATAGTTGCTGGTACATATAAAATATCACCTGTATTTTGTATAACAGCAGATATGTCACGCCAATCTTTTAAACGTTCATCAGCATAATTATATAAAACAATATCCTAAAAAAATAAAATTTTTTTTGTTTTTTTTTTTTAATAAGAATTAGAGTTTTGTCATTTTACCGGTGTCCAAATTGAATCAGCAGGTAGACATACTGTTGCTAATCCACCATAATCACTTGGATTCCAAACTAAATTCATATCTTGCCAAATAAATGTTTTCCATGTATTTGTTTGCATTTTTTGACCTGTTGAACCAAGATCAAATAATTGTGTTAATGTTAAACCAAATTGTATTGGTAATGGTTGTGATATATTTCGTATTGGACGTGCATATATTGTTGGATAATTATTAAGTAAATCACGTATAAGACGTTTTTCATGTGTTAATCGTTTTGTTTTTGGTTGAGGTATCGATATTGTTGAATTAATTGTTGATGATGAAGAAGGTTTAATTGGAGAATTTTGACGTGGTTTTATTTGTTGTTGATCTTGATTATTAACATTATTTACACCGAAAAAATCTATTTAATCAAAAAGAGAGAAAGAGAGAGAGATAGATTAAATTTCCACTTCTATTTATATATTAATGAAAAGATTAAATAGATGAATCTTATCAAAATAAAAGACTCTTCTTGATAAATATTTGCATGAAATTCAAATATAAATTACTTCCATATGTAAATATTCTTAAGAGAAGATTTATGTTTTCAGCTGATTTCTGAAAAGAACTTTGTTTCTAACATGCCTAAGAGATTTACGTGATAGAAATATTTTATAATCTTCATACTTGTCATAATATATCATAACTCGACTTTATATTTGAGAACATAATCTTACTAGTGCTTAAGTATTAACAATTCAAATCAGATTTACATATCCTTGACAGTAACAATCATCAAAATCTGTTTTTAATATATAAATTCTTAAACATAAAATTTATAGTTTCATCTGATTCAATAGAAATTCTTATTTTAAATATATCACACATATTCATCAATGAGTAGTACTTGAAATTCATCTTTTCCAGTAAGTTAAAAGCTTTTCTTTGTTCTTTTTAGTTCATGTGATGGTAATTATTTTTGTAAAATGCCTTTCAACCATTCCATCTGTCGAACAGAAGTATAAACTTAAGAAACGATAAAAAACAGAAAAAAAAGCCTCCGGAAATTGCATATTTTCATTAAGTTGAAGATTAAAAAGCTTGTCGTTTTATTCAATATGTTTTATCTAGGTAATTCATTGTTACAAATAATGTAAAAGATAGTTTTCAGGTGTATCTCACGAAAAAATTAAATAATATCGTCAATTGAAGAAAATGATTTTAAAAAAATCTCGAATTCAATTGTGACGAAGAAGAAGAAAATTAAAAGAAAAAAAACTCTTTTATAATATAAATATTAAAGATTTATATTTACCTCGAGAATTTAGTTGAAGAACTTTTGATGATGATTGATCTCGATGTTGTTGATTTTGTGATGATTGTGAAAGAGCAAGTGTTATATTGAACATAACAAAAAAAATTGTTATACTAATAATACGTAATATTGTAGCTAAATGACATGATCGTGTTGCACGACGATACTTAATATCTTTTCGAAAATATTGATCATCATTATCATCATCATCATAACTATTCGATTTTTCATTTGCTAAATAGCGACAATAGTAACACATAGTATTCTTACAGTTGCCTTAATAAATATGATCGTTCTTGTCGCTGTTCATCCAAGGGATTTATATCTAAAACATGTTGAAAGAAAAACAAAGTTAATGTATACAGACCTTCTTAGAGAACTATTACAACTAAATATAATTACTCAAAGAAATAGAAAGGATATAAATAAAGAGAAATTCTTGCTTTTTTCTTGTTTCTCTTTTCTTGCGTATTCAAATAATGACACCTGATGTGATACAGCAATTTTTTTCTACTTATATCTATATTGTGCATATATGTATATTCGGCATGAATGCCAAGGAAAAAGTAGTTTTGACATTCATCTGGTGACGGATTCTATGCCCATGGGCAAATTTTGTTTTTCCATTTTCTTCTCTCACATACTCATCGTATAGTTGCTGTCATCACTGATAGATCCAACAAATATAATGCAACAGGATAGATAAATAGTTGTATATATATATGACTGGACTCATGTTTCTGACATAAGCAGCTCAAAAAAATTGCATATGTTTGGTGTATATCTGTATTAATTCAAATAAGAAATTGAAGATATATATATATATATATATATATATATATATATAGAGAGAGAGAGAGAGAGAGAGAGGGAGAGAGAAAGAAAAAAATAAGACTTGACAAGTTGACACAATTAAATTTTCTTTTTTTTTTTATCTATAGCTGTAGTGATGATTGCGATGAGAGTCTTCACCCTTCTACTCATTTCCGCAAGGTCTTCCTACTTGATGTCATTTACAATTGTTCGAGAACTATGCTGCTATATGTATGAATTAACCTTTTTATTCTTCATCGAACAAAAAAAAAGAGAGAGAGAGAAGAAAAAAAACATCCCATTCTATATTCACTAATGAAACAAACAAAAATGTACTTTCTCGTTTTATGAAAAACAAAAACTACAGGAAGTCGATAGCAAAATATCATCATTTTCTTACCTCATATATTTATGATTTAATCATACAAATATCTTATCCTATTCTTAATCTTCGATGTCATGTCTAAATTCATATATATCATTATACTCATTGATCATCTTTAATTGTACATTTCAACATAAAATCATAGTTAGGAAAATCTTTATATTTACCTAGAGAAACTACTTCGTCTATGCATATTTTCTTTATAATCGGTTACTTATGTGTAAAAAAGAAAAATGAATCTTGTCATTATGTAGAAAGATACTCCATGCTTACACGCATACGTTGTCAGGAATTAATTATAAAATGGTTTATTATCATCATGCATACAGAGATACACACACGCAGATCAGAACTATTAGCCAGATGTTTCTAACACATATCTCAGACGGTTAAAAAAAATGATGTTAGTGGCATAGATAACACGAACGAGAACTCTCTAAAGATATTTAATCAATAGATTGACAAAATTTTATATCAGTAAAAGAAAAACAAATAACATTAGAATGATTGCTTACATTTAAAATAGTCAGAGATTAAGACTAAGATAAAATGATTAAAAGATACACGAAAAATCATCATGACAAAATCATATAGATATTAATCAATAAAGTAGTCATTTCTATGCAAGTGACACCTGTTAATCAAAATAAGAAGAAAATAGCAACATATAGTGGGAGTAATAGTCATCGAAGTGTGCGCTATAGATTTCTACATTCTTTTTTTTGTCCTCCAAAAACAAAAACCAGCGAACACAACACAAAAATCGGCCGTTGTTTCCTTCTTATGTGTATGTGTGTTCTTTTTTTCTTCTTCTTTTTTTTCTCCTGATGTTCTTCGTCTTCATCACCATCTTCTTGTTCGGCTTCGGTTTCGGCTTCTTCTTCTCTATTATACTATGCTAGATCTTTGCGTTTCTGCTGCCATCATCACCACCATTCACTCAGTCATTCATTCATTCATTCATTCATTCAGTCAGTCACTCGTGTGCATTCCTCTTAGCCTCAAGCTATCAAGCAACGAACAGCAATAATAAATAAAATAGTCTAACTCGTTTTTCTTGTTCTTCTTTCTCCTTCATATCTTGAGCATTTTATGTTCTTCTTCTGTCTATCGTTATTACTCTCTCTCTCCCTCCCTCCCTCCCTCTCTCTCTCTCTCTCTCTCTCTCTCTCTCTTTTCTGTTATAAAATTCGCTTTAGTAAGTCAATTATAAATTAAATTATTCCGATAAAAAAGAAATTTGGAAAACCTAGAGAAAGAAAAATATAATGATTGACAACGATGTACGAGACACGATCGTCAATCGTTTAAAGACATCCGACTTTTTAACTCATCATTTTACGTGTACCGCATCATCAATAAGAAAAGGAAAAAAGAAAAAAAATATTTGGGTGGGCGTCAAAGGGAGGGAGTGGCTTGCACGCATATACAAATCAAATAAAAAAGTGCTTGCTTGCATGCATCGCATTATATTCTAAAATTAATATACTATGATCAAAAAATGTAGTCAGTTGGACGTCATGGGAAAATAATCAATACAATGTCAACATGTTCTATGAACGAAGTTTATTTAATTAATGCCGGTGTAAGCAATCTTTATAATGAGACGAAGAAACAAAAAAATAAAAAGAAACAGAAAAAAAAAATTGATGAATAAAAATAGTATCAATAATAAACTAACAATTCATTTAGAAATATTTCCTTGACAAACTTACACACACACAGAAAAAATGTTTTACAGCAATCAAACTACGAGTTTTGATACAATTGCATGCTTAGCCCGGCCGCCCGCACTTTCCGTTCAAGACTACTTGACAAATGTATCATGATTCAATAACTGTAGTAATCGAAAATGGTTCTTTCAACGTTGTCGTCGTTCTTCCTTTTGTCCCTTACTACTAGTATTCATATTAAAGCAACAGCCATCTATATGTATATGCATGATTAAGCAGCTAACGGCTAACTATCAAACTCGATTTGTTGCACACGAAGACAACGCTGATTAGAGACATGCGACAAGAATAGAAATAGTGTATTGATAATACGAGTCATCCAGGAATAAAACAAAATATATATGTAGTTTATCAAATTAAATTGAGACGCATGACTGATTGAAATAATTGATCGATCATTCATTAACTGTGTACCAAGAAGATCAAGGTAGATTTCAAATCATTAGGGATTATTTTAACATTGTTATATTTTCAATCAGACATGAATTTTGTCTATTCAAATATATTTATCGAAATTTTATTAAAAGATATGTCAGTACTTTTGTAGGTCAACAATAGCACGGTACTCATGCTCTCTGATGTGCTCTATCAATTAGACTAATTAATGTATAGAATTTCATCAGTATGGAAAAGAATCGAAGGTTGATAGATTGCGACATCTTGTTTTAATATTATGAAGGCTATTGTCAATACTACCACATAGAACAAAAAAATGGCACATATTATTTGTATTTAATTGAATGAAAAATGTTTGAATCATCAAAATAAACGGAAAAATAAATTGATAATGGCTACTACTAATGAAAATAATTCAAATCAAATGGAACGTCTTACAACATGTCCTGTTTGTTTGGATAAATTTCGTATACCAAAACTTTTACCATGTATGCATACATTTTGTTTAACACCATGTTTAACAAATCTTGTTGATCCACGAGCACGTTCATTACGCTGTCCAGAATGTCGTCGAGAGCATCCTATACCACCAGGTTTAATAAAAAATAGCTTTTTTTTCATTATTGAAATAATAAATTTGTTATTTAGGTGGTGTTCAAACATTTCCTGCTAATTTAACTATGATCGGATTTCTCGATCTTCAACCAGTAAATTCTAGTCAACCGGATAGTTGTTTTGTATGTAAGGAACAAAAACAAGGTATAAAATACTAAATAATGAACGAGTTGAAAATTTTAAGACAAAATATTTGTTTATTTTTGACTATCTTGAAAGTATTTCCGAATGTACGCTTAGAAATTTTCTTGAGACCAATAAGATGATCTACTGAAAGGTCCACAAAAAAAAATAGTTTGAATGGAAAATTTTTCCGTACACTTTTATACTTTCATTATTGCAGTTCGAAAGTAAATGTTGAGACCTTTATTAATATGTCAACTTGTAGAGCAGAAGCTAGCCTACAAAATATGTCATTGGAGTTTTTCTATAGGTCATTGCAATTTTCGTTTCACTTAAATTTTCATTTTTGAAAAATCAACTTTTTAACCAAAACGTATTTTGTATAGGAAGAAGTTCTTGGCAATGTGCCGATAGTTTGACTTAAGTAAAAACCACAACTTAGTTCAATATAAAATTTTTGTAAAGAAGTGTCTATTCGACAAAACAACCGACTTCAATATCTTTTGACTCTTCGGAAAACACTTTCAAAGAAATCAAAAATAAATAAATATTTTGTCTTAAAGTCTTTTGTTTATCAATCAATATTTACTAATACATTTAGCTCTTATAAAATGTCATGATTGTTCAAAATATATATGTTCTGATTGTCGTGAAGGACATTTACGTGAAGGTTCTTATAATATAAGATCACTTGCTAGTCAACTTCGTCGTACATTACCAAAATTAAGTGATAAAATAGCTTCATATGAACAAAGAGTTAATACTGTTAAAACAAATCATGACCAAATTCAACATGAAATAACATCAGCTATTGCAACATTAATACAAGAATTAAAACATCGTGAAACAGCATTATTTACTGAGGCTGAAGTTTATATGCAATCACAATTAAGGTATAACAAAAACAAAAAAGAAAAGAAATCATAAATAAAAAATTCGATTTATTTATTTTGCTATTAGAATGTTTCGTTTACAACAAGAAACAGCAGAAGTTGAATTAGCAAGTGTAGCAAGTTTTTGTGAATCAATTGAAACATCTCTTTCAAAGTAAAAATTTTCTTTTTCTTTTTATTTATTAACTATTTACTTCTAAAGTGAACAAGCAATCACTGATATTGATTTAGCAAATATGCGCTCACAATGTAGTCGTTATTCACAACAAATTGAAACATTACATGCTCAAATGCCAACTGATGTTCAGAAGGTGAGCAGGTAAAGAATTAAGGAATATATACATATTTGAAATGTATCTATCTATAATCAACAATCTTGTCCAGTTACGATTGACATTTGAAAATCAAGTACCTCTATCATCAGCTATTCAAAATTTTGGTCGTTTAATTGATATTTCAAATGAACAACAATCACAAACTTCAACAAGTCAAGTTGTTCCAATACAACAAACAAGATTTTCATCACCAGGACATCCTCATTCAGTTGCAAATTATGGAACAACAGTACCAAATCAAATGTATATTCGAGAACAATCACAAATGGAGCAATGTAAATCTATAGCGGATAGTATAAAAGTTCTGCATTAATTTTGTTTTCAGTGTAGCATTACAATAACTTGTATTGTAGAGACTCAACAATTTTCATGTTAGAAAGAGCAAAGTCTCTACTGCAAAACTGTATAAAAATATTTCATACAAAATACTTATTGAAAGTTGAAAAGTTCTATGCATACTATTAGAATTTAGAAGAAAATTTCCACTCACTAAGAAGGTTGGTCCTATTTTCTGTCGTTTATCGAGTTTCGTAGAACTATGGTAAGGCGTTGTAAACAGATAAAAAGAAAATTTTCAAGTTATTGCTTGAGTTTGAGATCAAAATTTTTCGAACGGCCTTTTCTAGCGAAAAGTATTTCTAACTAAAAAGTGATTTCGAAAGATAAGATTTTTTTCCAACAATCGAAGTTACTTAAACTCTATATTCTAAGTCCGATTAGAATTTATTGAGTCCTCTACAAAAGTACATTATAGAAAATAGAATATAGTTTTTCTATTAGACATTGTGAGAAAAACTTCATTGTGTGGAGTTAAAATTTCTTTTGTCTGGTATATGCAGTGGCTTCAGAAATTGACTTTATGTATTTAATTTTTATTTTTATTTCCATAATAGTGACTTGAATAGAGAAAATTGTTTCTAATGAGAATTCGAGAGAAATAAACTCTTCACAATATTCCCGAAATCTAGAATTTCTTGAAAATTAAAAACTTAGTTTTTCAGCACCTAGAACCCGATTATAAAGATTTCTCTTGATTACACAGAGCGATAGAAGAATTGATTCTCTACCAAATGACACGTTTTCTAGCTCTTCACAACATTTTTTTTTGGCTAAATAATATAAATTTGAAGAGAATCTCAAAAGTCTTTTTTGTCGAGTTTTCCTTTAGGAAATGGCAAAAAAAACCTATTTTTAGACATGTAAAGATTTTATTTCTGTCAAATCCTTGTTGTTGAAAATAATTTTCTCTATTCCATTAGAAAGTCCGTGCCGCATTAGTTACATTCAGGCATAAAATGCCTAAAAATTTCGAAAGCTGAATGCAGGACACTTCCAGCATATGATAATTATTTTGAATCAAATATTTTTACATAGCTTTGTAGTAAACACTTAATTCTTTCTAACAAGAAAAGAAAAATTAATACAGAACTTTTGCATCATTCATTACGAATAAAAAAAAAATATATATAATAACTTATGGATATTTTTCTTTATAGTGCGACATTTAGAAAATTTATATTATTCACGTGGTTCAACAGCATCACGACCACCTTTACCATCTCAAACATTTGCATATCGTCCACCACAAAGTCATTTTTCCGGAAGTGTTGATAATCCATTTGTTGATCTTAATTTTACAGCTCCTGCTCGATCTTCAACATCATCTTATACAGCATCATGGGATCCACAATCAGTACGTCGTTCTTCATCAATCTTTGGACCAAATCCATTTGTGGTTACAAATACTCGACCAACTCAACGACCACCAGCACCAACGCCACCATCAGTACGTCCAAATCATGTAACAAGTACAACTGCAGGTCGATCACTTGAAGGTGATGATCGACCAATTTTTGGTGGTAGAGGAGGAGGAGGAGGAGGAGGAGGAGGAGGTGGTAGAGCAAGAGAACGAGTTATTACTACAGCACCTATTCAAGAACAAGAATCATCACCAAATGGTGATCTACAACGACGTAGAACATTTGTATTAGACGAACCAAGTGTACCTAATCTACCACAATCTGGTGCTCAACGACCTCGTGATACAGTTCTCGTACAAGAACTTTATAATGTCCAACGACAAATTCGTGCTCAAACACCTGTTGCTTTTACTATTGATATTAATGAAGCATCACGATCGGCACCTTCACAAGCCACAGGAAATGCTCCTACTTGAATTTCATTTTTTCATCATATATGATATTAATCGTTTATACTTATTAAATAAATTATTTATCATATTATATTTTTTATTTTGCTTCTTATTACTATCTGTATTCTATATTTCTATTAAATGTTAAATATAATACATATTTTGGTAAACAATAAAAAAAAAAGAAAAGAAAATTTAACTACGTTGTGACATATAAGCAAGTCTTTGTTGATAATCGATTAAATCTTTTGTTTTGATTTGATTAATCTAAAATAATAATAAAAAAAAATATTATTAAGATTTAAATCAAAAGATTAGATTAGTTTTACATACAATATTTTCATATTCTTTAATTTTATTATTTAATTCTATAAGACGTTGTTTTAATTTAATATGTGTATCATTATGTTGTAATAATTGTGTATCAGTTTGTTCAAGACGTTGATAAGCATTAGATAATTTCATACGTAATTCTTGATTTTCAACAGTTATTTCTTGTACAATTTCATTTTTTTGTTCAAGTATTGTTTCAATTTCATTTGTTAATTGTCGAGAATATAAACGTAATTTACTTAATATTGTATTTTGATTACAAACAAGATCTTCAAGTGAGGATAATGATTGATGACGTTGTAATTCAAGATTTTCAATTGTTGTACGATAATCTTGTTCACGTTTATTTAATATAACAGTTATAGCATCAATATTTTCTTCACGTGATCGTTCAAGAGTTTGTTTGATACTTTTTAACATTAAATTCTAAAACAAAAAAAAAACCTATTGTATTTTTTCTAGAACAAACAGAAAATATAAATACTTCTCGAGTTAAACGATTGATTTCTTCTGTTAATTCGAGACAATGTTTTTTTGAATTTAATAATTCACCTTCAATATCATTAAGACGATTTTGAGTGGAACCAAGTTGATGACGAAGTTGAAGTATATCCTAATATATAGAAAAAAAAAGGATTATCCTTCTTTTAAAACGAATATCTAGACATGAACAAGATGATCCCGACAGAACCGAAACCAAATTTTTTTTTCTGATCAGAATCGAAACCAATCCTTTTTTAGATTACGACTCAGCTAATTGTTTTTTAAGTCGGGTTCGAAACCAAATAGTTTTTCCGATTGAGACCGAGGTAAATTAGATTTGAGATCGAGACCAGGACTAAATTATTTTCTGATCAGGATTGGAACTAAAAACGACTAGTCCCACTCATATCTATGAATATCTCTTACTTGGTTACTTTGTAATAAGAGCTTTTCAAAATCTGTTCGAATTTGCATTGTATTTGAATTAGCTTGATCACGTTCACGCATTGCTTTTTGTACTTGTAGTTTAACAGAATCCGAAGCCTTAAAAAAAAACAATCTTTTTTCAAGTATGATGTATGAAGAAAAGAAAAAACATGTCGAGACAAAACTATATGTTATACCAAAGTTTCCTATTAGAGGACACAGATTTTGATTCTCTACAAAATTTTATGGATATTTGCTTAAAATCATAGAATATAAAGTTTTAATAATCTGCATTGTGTGACTTGCCATCCAATTTGTAGTGGTGTATTCTTTTGATGCAAATGAAAACTAAGTATTCAAAAAACAATCAACATTTGAAAGGCTCTTTCGATTCAGAATACCTATCAAGTATTTTAAACGCACATTCTCCAGAAAGGATAACATATTATATAATGAGAGTAGTGAAATTTCTTTTATTGGCTACTTCTTTTCTAACGCGAACATCCTAAAAATGTCCTTTTTAGCTAGATCGAGTTCATTTTTTTGTCTCTTTATAGAAATATTTGAATTTGGTGTAAAAACTCAGATAAGCTATCATCATCAGATGAATATAGGTTATAATCGAACATGTACAAAACACTACTGAAAAGGTATTTCGTGGAGACTCGAATCACAAGCACGAAGTTTCTTGTGTGACTGTTCATATCTTCAAAAGAACATTGGAAAAAAAAATCTTAGGCAAGTAAGTTTCATTTACTGAATCATGAAGCGCAACTTATAAAAACTTTCTATACTATTGTTTTAAATAAAAATTTGTAGAGAATCGAACATCGATTTTATCCAAGAGTTTTAATTCTCGTCTTGTGAAATTTTTACTTGATTTAAATCAATTTCTTGTCTTTGTATTCGATTTTTCCATTCATCTAAATCAGTTGCTAAAGAAGTTTTCTCTCTAGCTAATCGATCTATTGTTAATTCATATTGTGAACATCTTTCTTCTACTTGTCGTATCTAAAAAAAAATAAAATAAAATAAAAAATTTATTTTATTTTAATTTACTTTTTCAATATTTTCTTTTAATTTTTCTTCACATATTTGTTCAATTTTTTGTTTTTCAATATTAATTTTTTCATTCATTTCATCAATGAATTTTTTTAAACGTTTTTGTGTTTCAACAAGTTCAATTTTTATTTGATCACGTTCAACAATAGCCTATACAAGAAATAAAAATATTCAAAAAAACTATTTTTACAAATAATCAATACTTCATTTTTTTCAAATTGACTTTGTTCAACAATGTGAACACATTCTTGTAATTTTGCTAATGTACTTTGTTCTTTAATTTGATTTTCATCAAGTTTAACTTGCATTTGTTGTAATTTTCGTTTATTAGTTTCATTTTCTCTATAAATAAATTCATTTCATTTATTTATTTATGTTTACCAATCAATCTCAGACTCGTTTAGACCAATGTAGGATTTCACTTTGAATACATCCAATCTAGGATCCAACATTGTACAGACATTAGTCTAGACCATTCTCGAATCGACTAATATTTTACATTAAAATAAAAGTTAAGCATAGCACATGAAATTTTATTTTCAACAAAATATATAAGTATATAACACAACGAAGCATCAACAAAGGGTATGAATGAAGAAATCTTGTTACAATGTATTATTCTAGTTTTAATTATACATTTAATTTATTTTCATAAAGATAGTATAATGACAAATTTTTGAACAAAATAGTGGATTAAAACAAAGAGATAAATCATCAAAAAGATTTTCTTATACAAGAAACAATAGATTTATTGAAATGTTTTTAAATAATATGTGACTATGTATGAAAAGATGACCTATAGCCATATTCTTACAAAATCATGAGCTTTTGGTGCCACTTTATGCTTCAAGTTATACTAGGAAAAATAATATTACATTACACACAGACAAACGACTTTAGCCTAGTCTGACCTACACTCACAATTGATATCAATTAACTCTTTTACTTTTTCGAAATTTATTTTAGCATAAAGAGTGATTTAGTTTCATTCACATTTTTCTATTCTAATTTTTATTCGATACATTCTTTGGACTGCATCAACACCTCCATATACAATGTATGATATTTATGAGGAAACCTTCTCAAATGTTTCCTTTCGATTTCAATGATGTTTTATCTGTAAATACTAAATAGTCTTCTAGAAAAATTCAGGTTCCTATTGAGATTTGACTCACCTATCGAATTTTCATCTAAAATTTTGCACCTATAGAGAACTCAACTAGACTAGCTTCAATAAGAAAAAAAATTCACAAGTTTTGAACAAAGTCTCTTCAAGATATAGACCTTTTCCCATGGATTGTGAACACAACGTTTTCTTTTTTAAACTTCATATCTCGAGAAGACTTTGTTTAAAACTTGTGAATTTTTTTATGGAAGTTAGTCTAGTTGGGTTCTCTATATGCCCAAAGTTCTAGATCAAAACTCGAAAATAAGAGTTTTCCGAAAACTTCAAGTCTTTAGAAAATAATTCGATAGCTGAGTCAAATCTCAATAGAAATTCAAACTCTTTTAGGATTTTTTCAAAATACTATCTAGTATCTATAGGCAATAAATCATTGATAGTGGAAGGGGACAGCTGAACAGGTATCTTCGTTAGTCTCAAATTCCAGTTTAACCTAGGCGAATTTGTCATTGACTTAAGCCAATCTGAGATTTCTCTAAAATTTTCAGGCGAATCTTAGATTGGACGTTATTCTAGTTGATCAATTCGAGAATAGCTTGAATTAATGTTCGTACGATGTCTAATTCTAGATTGGATACTAACATTTATATTGTAATTTAAAACAACTTACGTCATAATATCAGCAAATTTTTCATTATGTTCATTAGAATGTTGACCAAATGGAAGTAGTGCACCACATTTAAGACAATTCATAAGATCATTTGGTGCTTGCCAAACAGTTTCATACATACTTAATTTTTCTCTAGAATTGAATACATATATAAATCATATTATTATTTTTAATAATGATATATTTACTTAGCATCTTTCAATTCAATTTCAAGATGACGCATTTTTTTCGTATAAAGATCAGCAATTTGTGACTTGAATATACAAAAAAAAAAAAAGAACAAGATTTATGGTTTTTTTTTCTGTAAATAAATATACTTCTTTATCTGTCATTGATTGTCCATCATCAATGTTAATTAAACGAAGCATATCGGAGACAAAGGTACTACGGATTTCTTCATTTAATCGATTATTTTCTTCAATCAAAGCAACAACATTTGATCGAAGCTTTGTATTATCATCCTAAGTTAAAATAAAACAAAAAGAAAAAGAAAACTTTTTTCAATATTATTTTCTTGACTACATACACGAAAGTGTACATGTTTCATTCTTATAAACTTACACGTAATGCTTCATTTTCATTTCTCAATCGTTGACTTATCTCATCAGCTGCTTGAACAAGTAAATAAAGTTCATTTGATTTTGGTGTATCTTTAGATGTCTAATGAAACAATAGATAAATAGATAAGAAAGTGTTAATGATTTGTTTATACTTTAGATGAACTTGAATGATGTGTAGGTGATGAAGGAGAACCATGAGGGTCTAATTGTGAGAGAAGATCACGGAGTTTATCGGCAGCCGTGAGTGACTTAACTAAATTTTTCAATGTAAAAAAAAAAGAAAATAAATTAATAAAGAAAATCCATTTTTGTACATACCAGAAGCGACTGATGCCATATTTCGTGAAGAAAACAAATGAGATCACTGATAAATTGTCATAAGCTGATTTTCATTTTATTAAAAGCTGCAATTCTTCTTTTTTTTTTTTTGTTTCAAATCATAAGCTCAAGTACGACGTTATTGGTTGACATCATGCTTACCATTTTCACTGTTGTCTTGACAATGAAAAAAAAAGATAATGACATCTATTTGTAATTAATATCATTGATCTTCATTTTTAAACTAGACATTTTTTAATGAGATTATTAATAATAAAAAATAATAATCGAAGGAAGTGAACTAAACATGTAAGTTAAAGAAAAGAAAAGTTTTTGGTTCAATTACTTCATATAGAAATTATGAACCAATGAAATTTTTGTATTATTTTGAACTCTAGAGAATTTTAATAATTTAGGTAGGTTATACTAGATCGAACGGGCAAGTAAACGATGAATAAGATTGATAAAAGAAAAAAAGCATAGATTGTACAATTTATTTTTTCATGCAAACCATTCAAATATTTTCTGAAATAAATCAATAATACCCTATGTTTACAGTAGCTCATCTTAGCTAAGAAAAAATTTTAAAATGTAAACGGACGACTTATTCCTGTAAACACTAAAATAGTATATACTACAATCTAATTCTAATATTGCCATGTTATACTTATTGATCAATCAAAAAAATTTAATACAAATGAATATCTATTTCACTCAAATGAAATGTTAAATATTTGGCAAAATCATCTAATTGAGCACATTAAAGGAATACAAATGGAGTGTGTGACTGAATAGAAGACTGTTACATTTCAACAGATAAATACATTCATTTCGTTCGCTCCCTCTGTGTTGATATATTTTACTAGTATTCGACTAATCAGTTGAAGATCTAATTGTACATATCGTGTGAAAATGTAGTGATGTATGTCTAGTTTGGGAAAAAACATCTTCAATGGTGATATAAGTTGATTCATAGTGGATTTATAAGATCTTTATCTTGACAAGAAAAATAGTTTTTAAGAGAGAGTAGCACAAAAAATTTGTACATTTTGAATCAGAGTGGAATGTGGTAGAGAAAATATGTTTCAAGAACAATGGCAAGTTAATAGGGAAAGATTTCTGTAGTATTATTTGAACAGATGAATGAATTTAAATGTCAGAGGTTTCAATTATTGTATTGGTCATGTACCATCTTCTGTCAATTATTTTGAGTATTCTAAATCTTCGCAATCGGAATGGGCTTTCCAATCGGTATTGGATACACAAGGACATCGTGAAATGACTAGTAGTGGAAATGAAGACTAGCTGTGAAATGATAATAAAATTCAAGGTTTAATCAATACATGAAAAATCCAACTAACGTATCACCTATCAGCAAAAATGTATTAACAATCGGTCACAACGATAATCTGATAGTCGACGAACTAAAAAAAAATCATTTAGAGCAACAGTTGTACGTGCACAGCAAATAGTTTAACGATGTGATACGTTGGCTCAATGATTATTTGCCAAGGACTAACAATCCTGTTCGTAGAGAATAATCTTAGGATGGCAATAAATGTGCTTAGCTATTTAATACAGTGCGAAGCACAGCATTTATGTACTTCTTTGCGTACGCATTCGATCTCCATACTTTGCGTATTTTTTGCTGGAATCTAATCTGTAATTTGTGTCGTGATGATCTAGAGAACAACAAGTCACTAGAAATTCGTTCGAACTTAGCCAGAGAGATCGATGTTTCGAGATGATTCAAACGATTTCGAATCTTCAATATGAGTTTTCGTTCATCTTCAGTAAGCTCCGTAAAAAGGCAATTTTGACAATTTGGTCTTCATCTTTTACCTGAGACAATTAAACATGGTGAGAAAATCTTCAGTAAGCATCAAGGTGGCCGTTTTGCGTTGCAATGATCTCCAGAACAAAAGCTCAGCAAATAGTTGTTGAAACACGAAGTGACAGTATCGAGATCGGGCCGATACAGTTTTTATCGCAGTCTTCCAGGACAAACTCTGTTTACTTACGAATAGAGCCAACAAAAAGACAAATTTATCTGGACTTAGATTTTTTGAGGCTCTAATGTAATTAAAACGAAGATAGCAAGAACAGTTAGTCGCCAGTCTTCTTGCTTACGGTTGATACAGCTGTGAGAAAAGCTGACAATAGGTAATGGATCGTATAGATAATTCAACGATCGATCGATAGCGTTGTTTAGAAACATGTTGATACACGTTAGTTGAGTTCTTGTACTGAAGACTTTTACTGTGACTGCTTTTCACATTAATCCTGACTTTGATCAGATGATCGATAACTACGTTACTTTTCCGATTTACAACGATGAAAAAAAAAAATCGCTGATTTCAGTAAAGCGTACACACCTTTCAGAAAGATGTGATTCACGATAAATCATAAAAGCGATTTTTCGTTTTTTATGATACACCTTTCTTTCTCGAAAGTCGAGGTTCTAGCTTCGCACTGAATTTCATATTCGAGCTTCACTCGAGTACTTTTTCGGCGTACGCATCAGAAGTTATCATTTTGCGTTGGGATGATCTCGAGAACGAAAACTCAAATAATATTCGTTCAAACATGAATCGAAAGTGTCGGAATCGAATCGTCACCATTTTTATTCCAATCTTCCGGAGGACGTTCCGTTTCCTTATAAAGAGAGCCCAAAAAAGACAAATTTTTGTGGAGTTACTTTTTCAAGTTTTGAGATAAATAAAATGACGATAGCAAGAAAAGTTAGCTGCTACCCCTCTTCTACACGGCTAATACAGATGTGAAAACAGCTGACAATAGATAATGAGTCATCCAAGGTCGTCCATTCTGGCCGAAACCGATCATATCTGTTGACTTTTCCGGTGTGTTTCCTGCAAGACTCGACCGGAATAAACGAGGACCTTGAAAGTAATATTTCGATCGAAAAGCCATCGTTTCGGAAACGGTGGTTTTCGTACATTATCGCGGAACAGGAACCAGGCGAAAAGTATAGAAGACGATGGGAAACTCAATGGAACAACAAAAAGATCCGCCTGGAAGTACCCTGGAACTCATTGTATCCAACTGATATCCATTGATTCCTACATTCGATTCGGGCAGAAAAAGGCCATACCCAAAGACTTTCCGACGCGTTTTCCGCAGGATTCTCTCTATGTCTCATAGGATCCGTTGAATTTTTTGGAGGATCTACTCAATTTCCCGCATGCATCTGACAAAGACAACTATCAACTTGAAAGAAGTATCGCGGACAGCAGAGCCAACATATCGAAAACAGTGTTTGTGGGACGTGTGGATGGAATGAGGTGTGGGTGTGAATGCTGGTATTCTTTTCACCTACACCCACACCCCACACTCACACTCTTAAAATATGAAGAAAAAACTTATTACTCTAGTCAATGTACTGAGCTCAGAGTACCCCGCTGCTAGTATATTACAAGAACCTTTAGATACTTCAGTACATTAGGATGCTTTATGGATTTTTAGCACTTGACTACAAAATACTTCTGAATGTTTCATATACTAACTTATTGAAAATTTTTTCATCGACTACTATGATATTGTCATATCTACATATGTCATGTTCTCGTTGACTAAGGTATATATAAAAAAAAGACAACCGAGTTGTTATGTGAATATCATCTTTGGATACGTACATATATAAGACCAAAAACATTAGAATAAAGAACTATATCGAATTCGGTGGTTCTTGTACAAGTTGCAGTTTTTCACGATGAACGTAAATCCTCAACAAATATAAAAATAATTAGTTTTGATTTCGATTATATTCTTTGAAATGTTATTAATGATGTTAATCAAATTTCTACATATTATAGTCATAAACAGTATATTAATTTAATATATTAAACATAACTTTCAATGGTATTTAGAGTTATGTATATATATATTCGGTAGTTCATTGGTTAAACCATGATCATTGTAAAAAATTCTTAATATTACATATAAATTCATATAGTTGTAAAATTATTTTTATATTTGAGATTTTAACATTTATTTCAATAAGTCAATTGACTTTTGTTCTTTATTCTTCTGATATTTAATGCGATGAGAAGCAAAGCATTTATGTAGATCTTCGTGACCTTCTCGTCGTGTATATCGAAAGTTGTCATTTTGTATTGTGATGATCTCGAGAATGGAAATTGAGAAAATACTCATTTAAATGCCCGATGAAAGTATAGAGATCGAACCGGTACCTTTTTTTTCCAATCTTTCTGAGGGCGTTCTGTTGGATTAATAGTAATATCTCATGAAAAAAAAACAAAATTTTGAGGAGTTAAATAGTTTGTTTCTCAAGCTTCAAGATAATAATTAAAACAATGACAACAACAAAATTTAGCCGTCATTCTCTTTGCTTATAGCCAAGACAGCTGCAAAATACAGCTAATGGTAGATAGTAACTCAGAAAGAGAGTCAAGTGATCAATGAATAGTATTTATGAAAAATATGTTGATAACTGAGAATAGAGTTCTCTTAGTAATGAATTTCTGAATGACTATTTTACAAATTCTTGCAGACTTTGATCAGCTGATTGATTGAAGCCTATATTTTACGATTTACAGTGAGAACAAAAAGCCTGATGCCAGTGAAACGTTAATATTGTTAGGAAAAAACCGATTCATAATAAATCAGAAAAACGATTATTCGTTTGTTTTTCGATAACTAACATTCGTAGCTTCGTACTGCATTTTGTAATCGAGTGAAATTTGAATGCTATCTAGTATTTTTCGTGATATACTTGTGTACAAATTGATCGATTCATTATGAAATTATATAGCATCAATGCTTTTCCTTTCGTCAATTTGTTACAAATTAAAATTTGAATAATTGAAGAACAAATTCAATTTTTTTAGATACTTCTTTCCAAGTTTGTTTAAATTGTCATTTTTTAAAAATTATTCCTTAAGTGTCTCACTATACATTGGCTTAAACATGTAAAGTAAATAAATAATCCTGGAGTGTGTAACTGGTTACATGAAATTATTTACCAAAAAATTAGATAAATCATTTTAAAAAGTATAGAAATTATTTTCTATATGCTTGCAATGAATTATAACTCACAAGAACATACACTGATAAATATATTCGTTGCGTTTGCCGTTCTGAATATGAATGGGAAGAATGAGATATTTTTCTGTTCTTCTTGTAATGTCGACTCCGTGGCGCAACGGTAGCGCGTCTGACTCCAGATCAGAAGGTTGCGTGTTCAAGTCACGTCGGGGTCAATCTTTAATTTTTTTTTTGTTCTCAACTTTTTTTTTGATAATAATAATAAAGAAAGATACAATAAGACTATTTTATAACGTAGACTTCGTGGCGCAACAGAAGCGCATCTGACTCCAAATCAGAAGGTTGCGTGTTCAAGTCACGTCGGGGTCAATTCTTCACTTCTTTTTTTTGTTTCCAAATAACAATAGAAAAAAAAATCGATGCAATGAGACTATTTTGTAGCGTGGACTTCGTGGCGCAACGGTGGCGCGTCTGACTCCAGATCAGAAGGTTGCGTGTTCAAGTCACGTCGAGGTCAATTCTTCACTTTTTCTTTTGTTTCAAAATAACAACAGCAAAAAAAATCGATGCAATGAGACTATTTTGTAGCGTAGACTTCGTGGCGCAACGGTAGCGCGTCTAACTCCAGATCAGAAGGTTTGCGTGTTCAAGTCATGTCGGGATCAATTTTTAACTTTTTTTTTGATAATAATAATAAAAAAAGATACAATAAAACTACTTTATAACGTAGACTTCGTGGCGCAACGGCAGCGCGTCTGACTCCAGATCAGAAGGTTGCGTGTTCAAGTCACGTCGGGGTCATTTTTTATTTTTTTTTTTTTGTTCTCAACTTTTTTTTGATAATAATAATAAAAAAAGATACAATAAGACTATTTTATAACGTAGACTTCGTGGCGCAACGGTAGCGCGTCTGACTCCAGATCAGAAGGTTGCGTGTTCAAGTCACGTCGAGGTCAGTCAATAATTTTTTCTATTTAGTTTTCGAACATTTAGATGAAGTCAAGATACGATGTTTATTGTGTTTCTTATTGCTATTGAAAAGTTCTAAATTCAATAAGTAATTTCTCAATGACTGTATGTGTATTATGTTTGTATCGGTTAGAACAATCAAATATTATTTAGGAATGAACTTTACCAAATAATAAATCTACGGATAGCAACATCTGTCAGGATTCTACCGAAAAAGTCGTTCAGACAAGGGCGTTCTTCATGTAATTTGTCAGAAAACTGTAATGCATGTAAATCGATCTTGAGGTAATTCCGACCTTGTTAAAAGGTTCCTATTGAGACTAGATAAAATCTGAACGGATTCGTGTTCATGAGTCTATCTTTTTATTGAGTTATGTTTATTTGAGTAATGCTGTACTATCTCTTAGATTACGTTCAAAATTGAATTTCGAGTTCAAAATTTGCAATATATAAAATTTTTAATTAGACTAATTTATGATCAAAGTATCAGATTTTCTTAAAATAAAAATTTATATGAATAAAATATGCTTAGTCACGTAATGAAATTTTCCATATTGGTGAAACCCTGATATTTTAACAATGACCTAATCTAATTGAGAACTTTATATACGTATCCATTGAACTAGAAATTTGAAAATCAATTTTGAAGGTGGTGAAAGAATCAGTACGATATTTAATTGGGTAATGCACTAAAATGAGCATCAACTCAACAAAAAAAACACAAGATTCATGAGCACCAATTCTTAAAAGGTTTCTTTAATCTCAATCGAGTCTACCTAACTTGGTAAGACACATCTAACAATGTTGATATACTTGATTGATACAGCCATAAAATAAAATGTTAGTAGCTAATATTAATTTCTTTTGATGATCACTAACATCCATGCTATGTTTTTAATGACGTGACGAGTGATCGGAAATTTTTTAGACGAGATGTTTGATACGCACATAATTTTGTGCTCTTTTTGAACATGAACTTAGAAATTTTGTTCGAGAGTAGTGAAATCATTTTTGAAAAGCTCAAAAAATTGGTTTGGGCAAAACTTGTGGATCGATGTTTTCGATAAACATATTTATTACTATTGACCTACTTGAAAGGATTTCAGAGAAGTCAAAAACTATAGGTCACAATCAGAATTTTTTTGTAGATTTTTTTGAATAAATGTTGTGTCTATTTTTGTTCAAGAGTCATGAGAGCCATTTTGAAACACTCGACAATGGTGTCGAACACTTTTCTACAGAAAATGATATTGAGCTAAACCATAACTTTTACTCAAACATTTTTCTAAGAGCTCTTTCCAATATAAAATGAATGTCGATTTTTCAAAAATGAGTATTTAGAAAAAACAAAACTTATAAATAGAAAAACTCAAGCTTTAGTTTTGAATCATAATAGTGACAATACAAAATTTTTCCATTCAAACTAATTCGTTGGACTTTTCAAAGATTATTTCATAACTCTCGAACAAAATTTTTATACCTACATTCGAAAATAAATAAAATTCTGATCGAAAGTTATCGAAAATATTTTCCAGAGGATCAAAAGTGAACAAACATCTTGTCGAGAAACTTTCCGATCACCTTTTATTACTTAGATGAGAAATATTCTCCAGACATATAAAAATAATCTTACAATACACACAAAAAATTGAAAAAATCAGTAAAGTAGTACATGTAAAAGTCAACTTTTACGAAAAGTAATTCGATATAATCGAAAATTTTTTTTTTAAATTAAATACAGTCATAAATTATTTTAATTTCCATTGTCGATATATATTCTATCAGTTGAACGTGTAATTTGATAATTATGAAGAAGTTTCTCACGATTAATCATAATTTGTAATTGTTTGATCATAATATCATTTGCTATTTTAACATATAAACATAATAAATTGAAATTAAGAAATTTATCAATTGTCTTGAATAAAATATGTTGTACAATTAATTCAATATTGAAATTCTTCTCACATTTTACTTGTAAATATTCTATTTGAGGAACAAGATTAATAAAAAATTGAATTTTTTCGAAATCATTTTGATCAATAAAATATTCGAGTATTAATTTTGTAATTTGATTTGTTCTTGACCATAATTGAATAGATTCTATTTGTTCCTGTGATAAACAATTTATATTGAAAGAAGACAAAGATAAGATTTTCAATGCATTAAGATTTGGTAACATATGCAAAAGTTGAATAAATTTATTATAAGACAATTTCTTACAATCAACATCTACACGATTAAGATGAAGATTTGTAAAAAAGTGTAAAGTTGTATCAATTAAATCTTGTCGAGATGGAGCAAAATAAAGATGAATAAGTTCTAATTTCATAGGAACAATTTGTTCATACATTGTAGAGTATTTTTTCCTTAAAAAAAAACATTTATTCATTTGAAAATTTCTCTTGTTAACATACATATCTGTACAAATGGAATAACTTATTTTAATAGGTGGCCAATAATCTATATCAGCTGTTATTTGAAAAAACCATCCTCGATTAATCCAAAATGATGAAGTAAATTGATTGAGTTGACTATGATAAGAACTCCATTCAATAGGTTGATAATAATGTTCGTCATATTCAAATTTAAATATATGTAAATATGGCATATATTTACAAATTAATTGTTCCCATCGATTAGCATTCAGATAAGCAATATCTTGAATTTTGTCGATAGATAAAATTCGAAGTTGTTTACATATTTTTTTAATAAAAATTTCAAATTCATCGAATTGTACATCACATATATTTAATGTAATACTAGTTAAATTCTCCATCATTATTGATTGCATTCTTTCAATGTCTTGATATTGTTTGGATAATTCGATACAAGTCAAATGAGTAAGTCGAGGTGTATATGGAAGTAAAACAATGAGTTCTTCGACATAACAAACGTGCTTGATAATTAGATGTTTTATAGAACTGTAATGTTCATATGTATTCATTGGTAATGATATCATCAATGAATTTCTTCTTGCTGAAAGTTCGACTTTTTTCAAATATGGTAAAAGAAATATCAGACGATATATTTCAGTAAGATCTACTGTATTATCAATAAAGTTAATAGTTATTGAAAAAAGACGAGGTAGAGATGTTAAAATGGGAAAAATTGAAATCAATTTCTGACATTGAACTTGATTGAGAACAAGTGATTCAAGACGACTAAATGATGAATTGTTATTATCTAATGATGATTGACTAATGATATCTAATTGATCATGTAAATAAAGAGAAACTATTCGATATTTGTTTGGAATAACAAATTCTGTATAGTATTTTTGAACTGCAAATTCCGGTTGATGATCAATATGAAGTTTTAATCGAAGAAATGGATAATTGAGAAGATTTTGAAATCGATTGTTTAAATTTAAAAATGCATTGAATAAATCATTATATTCAATATAGTCAAAAATTTCAAAAAAAATTTCATTAGATAAATCTTCAATTTGTGTAAATGACATTCTATAAAATAATAATAAATCTCTTCAATTGTTAATGTTTTTTATATGTTCTAAAACAACTTTTGAAATAATGAATAAAATTACTTCATTTCAGTATGCTAAATAATTCAACTACGCTCATTAGACACACTATTACATCATTATCTTGCTTTTTATGTATCCAGTGGTGCAATAAATATTACATCATTATGATAATTTCCTTGTCCCGTCAATTCATTTTTCTTTTTAATAACTATTGTTCTCGGTTTTTCTTCTATATGAGCTTGCATTCTATATGCGAACGACACAAATGAAATAGGAGCATAATTTCGCCACGTTTTTTTTTTCTTTACAAAAAACTATCCTTGTATTTATATATCAAAACAAAAACAAACAGAACAATAGAAATCAAATTGGTAATTGTATAAGGATAAATAAACGTCATTAAAAAGGTGAAATAATTCATTCAATGTGACTTTTGAATACCGAATGAAAAAGCTTGTCAGTACCGTTTCTGTTGACCTGAAATGTGGAAGCTATATGTTTTCTTTAGTCTCGTTAGACTAATACAAAATAAGAAAAGTGAAATATAGTTATTTTCGAAATGATAATCAATCGTCAGGAAAATGATTTATTTTATTTATTTCTGTATTTCGAACAGAAAGCTTTTTTTTTATTGACACTCTACTATTTTGCTTGTCTTTATTATTCTAATCATTGATTTGACAGGTAAAAAAGCCAGTTTTACGTATCTATTATATCGATAACAGATTGCAACACATTATTATATATCTCGATAAGTTGAGAAATATTGATTTTGATTATTTACCAAAGTTATAACTTTATCAGTTCACGCCTTTTTTTTCATATGTTGATCATACGGCAACTATGACAACTCAATGCATTGCTACTTATTACTGGAGAGAATTTTAAGTAGAAAATTCTTGTTGCGATTTTTCTAGTGATATCCTGCAACAGGTTGAAAGTTCAATAAAATGACCATAAATCGAGAAGAAAGGTCTAATATCACGAACTTTTTCAGGATTTTTATCTACACTATGACCTCAAGTGGAGATCATTGATCCTCTCGTTAGTTTCGTCGCTGCTAATGCTGGTCAGCATCAGTTTTTTTTGCTAATGAACTTGGAGAAAGAAGTCAGGTACCAGTTGCTCTCGATTTCTATGGAAACGTGCCTAATGATATTCAACTTCCGGGATCGGAGAGTCGCAAAACCTCTATCTAAAACTTACACTCACTATTTTCATTTGAAAAATATATGTGATTTCCACAAAATTATGATTAAATGATTTCGTTTTTAATCAGAGAAAAATATCGAGATCTTTTACTTACTTTTTTTTTATTGTTGATCAACAGTAGTAGAAAATGGACTCATTGGTTTTCCTCATATTTTCTCATTCTTTTTTTTTTTCTTTTTCAATTCTTCTCCATTTTAACATGTGAATGAAGCAATTAACTATTATTAAGTTTTATCTTTCTGTAGTAATAAAAAATGCTCTATTTAATAATGATAATATTTTTTATTTCAATAGCCTACATATCATACAATTGATCCATCTAATTCAATAGCACTGAATTACGTAATTAATTGATATACAGTATATCCTAAAAATGAACTTCAATGAGTCGATGTTCGCTGAGAATAATTTATTATTTACTTTAAAGTCAAGCCATACATTTGAATGTCATATTAACCCTAACACGAGCATCTTTAAGACTACTACTTGTTGTCCACCTGGATCTGTGCGGACACGAATTAAAAGAAGTGTTAAAGTATAGGGTAAAAATTTGGACTACCACAAACCGTGACAGACATTATTGATATACGGTCTTTGATTGTATATCAATAATGTCTCGTTGTGATATATGAACTACTTCCTTATTGCATTCCTGGAAGATTAAATAAAAGGAAGGCGAAGAAATGTATTTCCAAGATAGATAAAATAAAGCAATATTTCTGTGATAGGCACCAGCAGCCAAATCGTTTTTCATATGTAGATCCCGCAGAGATTGCACTAACAGCTTTCTTTATGGTCCTTAATTTCTCCCTAAGCGATCGAGTCAGAATTAAGATAAATTTAGGCACAGAAAAAAGAATCTATTGTTGAAATTTGAATAAGTGTTGCTATCTCATAATCATTAAGCTAGTCAAAAGTTTTGTTAATTTGCTTTCAATGATTGATACTTTAATTGAAAAAAATTCCAGTGTTCTTCGAAAGACAAATAATTATCATTCTGAAATAATTTTTATTTAACCAAAAAAAAAAACATCGTCAGAATTATGTATTAATAAATAGTTTTTATATTATCAATATTTTTGTCGTTGTAAATAAATTTTATTATGACAATGTTGAATTGTATAATTAACAAGTAATTCTTTTAAATCAATCATTGTTTGTAATCTTTTCACCATTCGTTCATCTGCATTTGGAATTGAAAAACATAGAAAATATAGATTAGAATTTTTTTTCATTAATATTAAACGAATGATATATTCTAAATCGATATAATTTTTACATTGTACATTTAAATATTTCATTCGAGGACAAAGATTAATAAGAATATCAATTTGATTTAATTCAAATATTTGTTCAATATTCATTTTAATTATTTGATTCATATTTGATATTGTATGAATCATATTAATTTGTTCTTCAGTTAATTGTATTTTTTGATTTGAAAACATAATAACTATTGTCAATGAATTAAGATGAGGTAATCGATATAAAAATTGAATAATAATATCAATAGAAAAATATTGAAATTCAATATATAAACAAGTTATTTCTGCTAAAGAAGAGATAAAATGAATACAATCGATAAACCATTGATCATATTGTATAAAACGACAATTACGAACAGTTAATTGAGACATTGAATTTAAAATATGCATATATTCTTGATCTGATAAGTTAACATCAGTTATTTGATTAAACGTTACATTATTTCTTTCATAACTGATTAATAGTTCATTCCATTGTTTTCTACAAGAGGACAACAAAAATGTTTTTTGTTTTTGTCTTTCAATCAAAAGAATTCTATTTAATATACCTCTTCGGTTGAATAGAAAATATAATTTCAACAGGTGGCCAATGATTTAAATCAATTTGAATATCTAATAACCATTGTCTTTCAATCCAAAATGGTGAAATAAATCGATTAAGAAATGAATGATATGATTGAATTTCAAAATGACCAGAAATACCATCATAATATTTAAATTGAAATGTATGTAAATAAGGCATATATTGTAATATTAATTGTTGCCATCGATCAGCATCAAGATAGAAAATATCTGAACATGGTTTAAAATGTAAAATTCGTAATTGAGATGATATTTGTTTAATAAATATTTCAAATTCATTAAATTTTAAATAACATTGTGATATTGAACAATATGTTAAATTAAATAATTTTAATGGAATTTCTCGAGAAATATTTTCATTTATTGAAAATAAAGGTTCACATGTTAAATGATGAAGTTTTGATGTATATGAAAGAATATTATATAAATTATAAAGTGTACAAGGATAATTGATTACTAATTGTTTTATAGAAGAAAAATGTTCATTAGAAATACTTGATATTGAATCTTGTAAAATAATTTTGTTGACTGAAAGTTTATTATATTTTAACATAGGTAAACGAAAAATTAAATGATAGATTCTATTAGAATCATCTAAAACATCATCAAGATGAATATTTAATGAAAAAAGACGAGGTAAATTTGTTAAATTTGGAAGAAATGATATAATTTCATTGAATTTAATTCCATGAAGTATCAATGATTCAAGTCGATAAAATGATGAATCGAAAGTATGAAATGTAGAATATCTTATCAATTGTGAACCATTTAATAGATGAAGTGAAAAAATTCGATGTTTATTAGGTAAAATTATTCGTTGATAATCATGTTCAAATGATTGTTTACATGAAGTATAATCATGAATTTTTAATAATAATCTTGAACTCATAATAAGACTTTCAAAATGTGAATTTAAATTTGAAAATCCATAGAATATATCACGACCATCAAGATAATCAAATATTTCATAGAAAAGTTCATTAGATAAATTTTCAAAACAATTTATAAATCTATTTTATTAATATATCATAATGAAATATATAATTAAAAATATTTTTTTTTTAACTTACTTATCTTCATTAGATGCTAATTTCATCGAAAGACGAAAAATTTTAATTGATTATAGAATTTTTTCTTTTTTATCTTACTTCGTAATTTTTTTGTATCTTCTTCGTATGACATATCAACACTCATTTGTCGTTTAGCTTGATTCATGTATTGATTAGTGTTATACATGATCTAAAACAACTATCAAATATTGAATTATGTGACAAGAAAAATAACAATATATAATCAGATTATAAACCTAAAAAAAAAAACTCTTAATGATATGCCGATTGGTAATCTCCAAAAAGACGCATTTCGTATATAGTCGTCGATTTTTCGATTGTTCTCTATCGGTAATTACTTTTGAATTTTCGATTGACATTATTAATCATAGTATTTCTCGAGGTCATGTCGATTTCATTCTGAAATATTTTCGAAAAAGTTTACACGCAATCAAACAAACCACATATTGCTTAAATATCATTGTAAGCACATACTAACAAGAGAACCACATGAACTGATACCGATCGTCTAAACTTATGTTTGGACTACAACGACATCTTGGTGAGACTGACCACACATCGAATTATGATCATTTTACTGATACCGAAAAACCAAATAATAGAATTTTGAGCTGAAATATTGACTGTTATAATATCCTGCGAGTTTCAGTTGAAAAGAAGATTCTTTAGTCGAGATATAGAATTTTCAACAAAAGTAATCGTGTGCCACAGGCACGACACAAAAAATCGATATCTCAACAAAATAACATTCTTTTCCGTCAAAATTTCTAGGATATTCTAAGAGTCATTATATCTGTCTATCAGCAACACTTTCGATTGAAATTTCATTATTTGGTTTTCCGAGGAGGTGAAAAATCCAGTAAAATGATCATAACTTAGTGAGAGATGTAACCTGACGGATTGAACGACAGCAACGAGCAAGAATTTTCAATTCTTGAGAATTTCCAGCAGCTATCGATTTGATTTTGCAGACTTTTCAGGGGCGACAGTTATAATTGTTTCGATTTTTTTATAGTGGCGGTGCCGGCTCAGCCGCACGGCTTACACCTCTAAATTCGGTTGTAAAAGCCCACGAGGGTTGAACCTCTTTAGATATTTGCTAGTCTCTCCAAGATGTCATTGTAAATTCAAGATGAGCTCAAATGGTCGATATCTCACTTCTGATGGTTTCTTCGTAAGCAAATTAATGACAACAAATCATTTATGATTGTATATGAAATTGAAATAACCTTTGATACACATAGAAGAAAAAAATTTGCTAACAGTTGCATATGATTTATATTTTTTCAGTAGTATTTAAGGAAGGTTGAAGTTTCCGTCCGGGCTTAAATTGATCTCATTGACCCATATAAAAACCTTATTTCTTTAATTAGTTGCTACATTCCGTAGTGCTAAGCAGGACAACATAGTGTTCAGCAATAGAGCATTGTGCTAATCAGTATGAATTTAGATCATACTATAATTACAGCGTTCTTCTCAGCACTATAAAATGTAGTGACTAATTAAAGGTCAATTTAAGTTCAAGCAGAAATTCCTGTAACATGTATTGAATGATATAATGTCTTGATTATTCCATTAAAAATAAACCCATTAATTGAATATCATAATATATTGAAAATATAACATTAGAATGAACACACGCTGCATCTTATTTGATTGTTTAAGTTATATTCAAAATAGTGATCAATAGAAAATCTTTTCTATTTGATTAATCGCATTAATTTTTCGAATCAATGAGAACTAACTATTACATCTAGTAAACCAATTGTCGATCTTCTTGACTTGTATGATCAGAACACTTTTTTTTTTGACTAAACACAACTGTATAATAATATTTCTACTGAGTTAAGCATGAAATCTAATCTGAAAATATCCATGTGGATCATAAAGAAGCAACAAGGCTTATTTTTTGTTCTTGCTAAAAAATGTATGCAAAAAACATGAATATCATGAAAGGAATTAAATATAGTAAATACTCTATTCTATATAAGAAATATTCATAAATTTATTAAGCGGAAAAAAAAGAAACATAAAAATTAATACATATTTTATTGAAACATATTATTTATTTTATTACTTACTTAACATGATGAAAAAAGGAATGAGAGCAAAAACAAAACAAAGATGTCATATAACATAAGGTGTCAAATCAAAACAAAGCGATTTATTATTAGTCAGTACCTAAAAATTAAAAAACAACCAAGAGATAACAAAAAAGATATTTCAATAAGTTTTTTTTTTTACCAAAATATTTTTGACCGAAATGATTGGGTGCTATTCCACTTATTTCTGAAACAACAATTTTTATATCTGGATAACGTTCGCAAGTATTTTTCAAACCATCAGGCGTTGAAAATAATGTTATTAGAATAATATTTGATTGTTTACATTGATAGTCTTTAAGTAATACTTCAAGACCAGTTATAACTGTTGATCCAGTCGTTATAACTGGATAAGTGACAAGAATATGTCTTCGATGAGTATCAGCCGGTAATTTTGCATATATAACTTGACCATCATTTATTAATATTTTACCTATTCGTATAGACCTGAAATAACGAAACATTTCAGTTTAGTCGCTCGTACACAAAAATAAGTTGAATATAATTAATAGAAAATAGGGAATAACTGTATTATAAATATCAAAGATGTACACGAAATCTTAAAATAAGCAAGGGGGTGAAGGTGGTAACCATCCAAAAGCAGTTTTGGGAAGCGATTCGGCCTTTCATACTTTGCTTACTTAGTGAGATATGATCACCAGAAAACCTCATTAACGGTAGCTAGAGTAATTTTTCCTTATACTTTCGGCACAGTTGAATATTATGTTCGTCAATGTTAGACATGCATCGAACCCGAGTTCTGACTCGTTGTTCGGGATGAATAGCTCACATTTGGAAACTAAGCATTCTAAAGTTCGGGTTCGGTGTATACCTAATCACAGTGAAATTCACTAGATTTTAACTGCGATTAATTTGTTATCAGAATAATTTTTAATTAATATTGGTTACAACTTAATTCCGAAAATTGAACCAACAAACAAATATCGAAATGAAGGATGAGTCTGTCTACGATTAACTCCTTTCTCTTAACTTTCAATGTTTGATATATATTCTATGTTAACATAAGTCTTAGAAATAGAGTTTAACAACTAGTATGATAAAGGCACGGGCTATGCACAATTCTAATAGACATATGCTGTTATGTATTGAATTTTTTGAGACTTATAATGACAAATCTAGTTTAAAAAACAGAATATTTTTTCTCAAAAATCGATAGCTACCTCAACTACATTCTTTCAGAATAACAAGTTCTTCAAAATAGTTTGTATTTGCATATATAGTTGATGGTCTCTTTGTTCTCGAGGTATCGAAATTTTACTGAGTCTTCCAACAAAAAGCTCTAGTCCTCTCTCAAGACATTGCACTCATAAAGTTCTCAATGAAATTCACTTGATTTTGAAAGTTTAAGTTTTTCTAATAAACAAAATTTGCTTTTATAAAAGTGAGAATTTCGAATATTGAATATCTCAAGATAGGAAATACTAGAAAAGTTATAATGTTGTCCAATGAATTAATCTCATTGAGAATTTTGCTCGTACAATTTTTCAAATGCTCGAAAAACTAAACCATTCTAGATGTTTCTATTACGTATCAAATAAACATCCTCCAGGTTGAAAACTGAATTAACACTCAGAGAGGTTCACTCGTAAATTATGCTTTTGAAAGTTATATCAAAACAGTCTATAGATTTTATTTATTTGAAGAAAAAACAAACGTTTGATGAACCTGCAACATTCCCGAAGGCCTTTTTCCATAGCTTCTCCACTTCTCATTAATGATACGCATAAAGTTCCTTTTTCATGACGTAGACCACTAAAAGAATGACCAGTTGGTGTTATAATTTCACATGGTATATATGGTAATTGATCAAGTGCAGCTTCAACAGTTAAACGTATAAGACGATCAGCATAAAATTTAAAATCACTTCGACATGTTGTTCGATCACGTAAAAGTGTATGAAGTTCTCGTAATTGATTATTACTTTTCATAATATATACATTTTTAGGATATTCTTCATCTTCAGCTTCATCTGTAGAACCTGCATCTACAGCATTATTATTATTATCATTATTTTCTATTGAAGACATCTGAAATAAAATTAATATTATTTTGTTAATATAAATTTCCATTTGTTCAAATAAATTAACATTTTGTCTATCTAATCTTATTTAGAAAAAAAAAGAAGTTTTATCAGATTAACAAAGAAAATACTATTGTACATGTTACTGATATTCATAAGTATTATACCATTATCAAAAATTATTTTCATAGTAACACGTACAATATAGATAATGAAAGATACATTTAAATGCCGAATAAATACATTTATCAAACCATTTGTCTAATATGAAATCATCTAGAAATCAATGATAAACGTATATATTTTCTGTAAAAAAAAAAGACGTGTTGCATACACATGATAATAATCATCAATTATACCTATAGAATAGTAATAGTTTGTTCACGAAAGCAAGAGAAAAAAGAAAAATGTTTAATAAAAGGCACACAGAGTAAAATTTCTTTTTCATAAATAGTAGAAAGAAAAAGATTTAGTCACGATGCAATATTGCATACGAACTAGAAGGCGAAAGATACAAAACAAATTTCATCACTGTTGGAATGTCATTCATTAATCATTGCATTGAATAGGTCTACACAGTTCGTCGATCAGTTAGAACACGTACAATTGATCCAAGTCCAGTAGCTGCAAGAACCTATAAATACAAAAAAATGTTTTAAAGAAAAAAACAAACGTCTTTTCTTTATTCGAATATAAAACCTTTTCATGCCATGTTAATAAAGCACTACTTGAATAATCTTTTGGATTTTCAAAACCTTTATAAACATATTTCATTAATGTATCACGTAATGGTACTGGAATTGAATTAACAGCATCCGATATTTCACTCGTTTTTATTTTCATCATTGTTGATAATGCCATAGAGGCTGCTTTTTTCTAAAAGAAAAAAAAAAGATTTTGTAAACAGTTCTCTATATGAGGTGATCTTTCAATGAAAACTTCTCAAGTTTTTTTTCAGTTACTATTTAATAGCATATTATTAGAACTCGACATAATCACACTTTGTAATGCCGAAAATTTCCACTCTTACAGTTCTGAAATTTTGTTTTTTCTTGAAACTAATTTACGAATCTATAAGCTAGTATGTATTTTTGTTCATTATACAACATATGAAGAGTAAAGTTGTTACTATGTAAGAGTAGAAATACTTAATTGTCTATTTTGATGTAACTCCGGCATTGACGCCAAAAAAACGTTTTTCGTGAGTACTCTGATGCAGAGCTCTTCATATCATTGGTTATGAAAAATTAACATCATACAAAGTCTTATGTCAACTTCTAAAAAAACTTTCTTTGGTGAGCCTCTTCTCAAAAATCTATCTAGAGCCAGGTGCATTTAAATCGTATGAAATTTTCAGGATATGCTGGAGCTGTAATAGAGACATTATACTATAATTTTCGGCTCTATGGTATGTAGTTTTCAGGAGATATTCAACAAACAACAGTCAGAAATAGCTCACTTGGCAACCGAAGATTCTCTGAAGACTCCCAATAGAGCTCGTCGGATCCAAAGTTTTTGGACCCGAACTCGACCCAACGGGCTTTAGCCTTCATTCTAAAGATTTAAAATGGTCATCTATTTATAGAAGTACGTTTTTATATAATAATAAAAAAGCTTAATTCAAAAACCGAGCACTGCAGCTTCACATGCACTTTCAAACAAAAAAGAAAGCAATTGGCTATAATGAAGATGCTTCAAGAATTTCTTACTTTTCGGAAACGAGCAGAAAGTGACAGAAATCATCAAAAATTTTGGCGAAAAACCTCAAAGTGCCAAACAAAAAACTGTGTCGTTTATGAAAGATCAGACCTCGAGCTATCTCAACTTCGATTAATTTCTAGAATCTATCAGTCAGAAATCTCTATAAGAAAATTTAATATATAAAAGACTATGACATATAAAGTGTTCAAAATTTGGCATAGATTTTCATTCGAAAGTATACATACTTTTTTATCTGGATCTTTAGCACGAACTGGTGCATTTTGAAGAACATATTCCAAAGCACGAACATATTTCATACTGAAATATTACAAATTAATTATAGAAAATAAAAAAACCTTCATTCAACTCACTCATCTATCAAACGTTTCCATTCATTTTCATCAGGTTCAACAACATTAGTTGATAAATCATCATCTCTATCGTCAATTTGATTTGACATTATTTGATTGTTTACTTTTTTTTCTTTTTAATCTTAAATCAAAAAGAAAAATATGTTCCCTATATATTTATTTTCCTAGACTAATATTCTACAAAATATGTATGTATCGTAGAAAGAAAAAAAAATACATCTTTTTTATTTGTCTAATATATTTCTAACTGAAAATTTTTCCAATATTGTTCTTCATCTTGTTCATGTTTAATTTCAGTAAGATATGATTGTAAATAAGGTACATCATATTCATATTGTAATCATGCATCTTTTATATCAAAATTAATTATACGTGATATACGAAATGAACGTTCATCCTATACTTCAGGTTCGCTTATACGTAAATGACGCATTGCTTCTTTAACAGCTGGATTATCTTCTCATAAACGAGCATACTCAATTAAATCTAATTTATAATGATTTAATTGATAATATTGAAATTTTCAACATTGTTCTTCCAATGTAGCTGATTTACGATGAAATTATTCGTCGAATATACAACGACCAAATTCTAAAGTAACTAAAAATAAAAAAAGATATTTTATTTTATTAATAAATTTCATTTCGGATTGTATCGTACCTTTATTAACAAACTTTTGTGTTGTCATATTGCAATAATAATAATCTTAAAGTAATTTCGTTATATATAGCACAGATGAGTTCATGGAGTAATGAATAGTCGACTTTAATAAAATCCATATTATAAAAAATTTGAATCAACCTAATATGAAAAAATGTTCTATTATTATTATATGTCGTATGATCGAAAAGGATTTATTTCCCTTCGCTAGTAAAATCTTATAAAAAGCAGAAGTGTATATCAATTCTCGTAATTCTATAGACTGTATTCCGATATTCATATTGGAAGAGACTGTACTAGTAACAAATATCTTTGATAGTTAAGAAACAATCAAATGAAGGTTATTTTAACTTTCTATTTCTTAGTATAAACCAGAAAAACGTGATATAGAAAGCTAATAGGAGATAAATCGATTTAAGTTTTAGTTCGAAAAAGTCTACAACGTAACTCACCACTTGGAGGCAAGCAGACACTGCGTGGACCAATTTCATAAGTAGAGACGACGTGATGACCCTGAAATAAAAACGTTGAAGATTTGTTTCAATTTTCGAATTCGTAAAAATGTAATTTCAAAAAGTTGGTCTATGAATAGTTTTATAACTTTCAGGAATTTTCTTTAAATTTCAAAAATTTAAATAAAAATTTTTCTATGTCAATAACAAAACAAAAAAATAATTTCGTTAATTTTCTCTCAAATCAAAGTATGTTTGTATTTTTTATTCGATGATAATATCAGATCATCAATAAATAACGCTGATAATGAGTCATGCATATAATTTCTATTAGCGATATCTATAAATATCAAAATTTCTGTTATTGTTTTTTAAATTTGATTTTTTTTAAAAGATTAATGATAAAAATTATTTTAATACAACAAAAACATTTTTTCTTTATTTTTAATTTTTATATAAATTTAATTAATTGGTTAATATCATCGAACAGAAAAAAAGAACAAGCGAAGAATTCTTTTACTTAGCTATTTCGTAGATTGGTAATCAACAATTGAATTTTTTTTAAAAGTTCAACATGGCAAATGTCTCAGGAGATTCAACATCAACTGATACAACTAAATCTTCAAAAATAGATGAACAACAATTATCTCAACCGTCATTTCCTAATACACGATGGATGAATATAACAACAGATTTTTCGCGTAATCCGGGTATATTTGATGATGTATTTAAAAAAATAAAGGGTAAATACATAAAATTTTTCTTATTAATTAATATTTATCATATATAGATTTAATGCCACCAGCATTTGAAGGTGCAAAATTATCTGTTACTAAGATGCTTAGTAGTCATTTTCAAGTTAGTCATTCAATGACCTTAAGTAATAGTTCTACTAGTGGATATAAATTTGGAGCTAATTATCTTGGTACACGACTTTATTCACAATCTGAAGTAAAGCAAAAAAAAAACAACAACATTTCTTATTATTATTATTTTTTTGTTTTATCGTAGGTATTTCCTGTTATACTGGGTGATATGGATCCAAATGGGAATGCTAATGCTCAAATAGTTCATCAATGGAATGATAAATTTCGAACACGTTTATTAGCACAAGTAAAACAAAAAACAACACTGAAAAAATTTCAATGATTTGATCAATCTTCTTGTTTTTAAAGGTACAATCATATAAAATGGCTGGTTATCAATTATCTATGGATTATCGGACACAATTTACAACAACGACTTTAACATTAGCAAATGTTGATCTAATGAGCAATTCTGGTAAAAATGAAAAATCAAATAAGATTTTTTTTTTTTTAATATTTATTTTTAGGTATCGCTGTTTTACAACATTTAACACGTGTAACAAAAAATTTAGATATTGGTGCTGAATTTCTTTATCAAGCGAGTCCAATGATACCTGGTAAACATATTGGTATAACGAGTTTTGTTACAAGATATCGAGGTAAAGATTATAATTTGAATTTAAATAATAAGAATATATTGTTTTTTTTGAATTTAAGGTCTTGATTGGTTTACTGGTGTTAAATTAAGTCCAGCAGGTGTTTTTAATCTTGGTTATTTTCATCAAAAAATAAACAGTCCATTACAGTTAGGAGTAGAATTTGAGGCATCACTTGCGGCTAAAGAAACTTCAGCAACATTTTCATATCAATATGATTTAATAAAAGCTAATACAACATTTCGAGGTAAGAGAACAAAAAAAACCACTAATGAAATATTCATGACTTACGAATCTTGTCATATATACGAGAAATTCAAGATTTAGTATATTTATTCATCGATGATTTCTTGAATATCTCATATGACCATAGTTAATTCTTAAATTGAAGACTGAACATGTGTTATGTAGACAGACAAAACGAACAACCAATAGAAAGAATAGTACTTGTTATACAAATTAACTCTAACATGACCATCTTTAGGAGTACATGACATGAAATCCGTACGAACTCTAATTGATAAAATAAATATAACACATGAAGTTGTTATTAGTTTTTATGAATATGTGAAGACTTGATTACAAGAAGAATAAATAGAAAAATAGTTAGCTTAAATCATATTTATCTAGTCTTCTTTTTGTTTCATGATCTTATCATTCTCTGTTTTTTTTTGAAGCATTTCAAATCATACATCACTATTCATATATATTTTGAACTATTGTTCTATATAAGCAAGACGCTGACGTATGATTGACTGACGTTATCAATGCACTTTAATAAGTGTCCATAAATATTATGAATCTCATTGGGATTCGAATGAACTTCACATAGTCAACCAAGTGTTTGCATATACGTCGGGATGAACTATTCATATCCGGTAGACATTATCAATACTCTACTAATCTTCATTGGAGCATATCGAGAAAATGAGCGATTTCATTTAATATTGTGTGATGAAGCTGACTAAAGTTCGCGCGAATCTCATAGAAATAAGAAATTCAAATGAAAACAAAAAATAGTATAATTGAAAATCAAATTTTTCATCTAGCTAATATGGATTTATAGGTATTATCCTAATTAACTATTGTTTGTATTACAAAATTAAAAACAATTTAGTTTTTTCATGTTATGATTCATTTTTTTTCCAAGCTGACAAATCAATTAAAACTGTTAATCTTGTTAGATAAATCCTTATATACTGGCTCTGTTCATTGTAGCAGAAAAATGGATGAAGGATTCTAGTCGGATCCAAAACTTTCTGACTTGGACCAGAGCTAAGTGATATCTGGCAGATACTTTCACAGGCACAGTACGATTTTCAAGCTTTTATTTTATATGGAAAAGTATACTGTTTAATTTCTTCTATAAACAACAACAACAAAAAAACGATATCATCCCAAAATTCATAAAAAAACAAGTGATTCAGAATGAATTTTCATCGAAAACTTCTATGACCTGTTCTCAAGTACAATAAACTGCTCAAATTTTCACTCGTATGTTTTCATATAAATAGAAGTTTGAGAAAGTAAAAATATTTTGAAACGTCAAGATCTCACTAATTGTCGAATACTCGAACCGGTTACAAAAGACACTAGTTCAGTACTAACCTGATACGCTCTAAATTCCAGTGAGCTTTTATAATATTTATTTCAACAATTTTTGGAATCATCGCTTTACCTGTTTCATGAATATTGAGATTAAATCAACATATCAGAAGATTTTGAATTTAATGAAATATTCTTATTTTAGGTATGCTTGATACTAATGGTCTTGTAACAGCTGTAATTGAAAAACGTCTTACACCATTACCATTTACGTTTATGTTAAGCAGTTCATTAAATCATGCTAAAGCTGCATATCGTTTTGGTATTGGTTTACTTATTGGTTAATACAATGATTCTCTGCTTACCAGATCAAAACCAGCTTTGTTTCTTAGTTCTTGTTTTTTCTTTCTTTCTTTTCTTTGTCTTGTGTACTGAAAAAACAGTTTCAAATCTACCGGTTGGTTTTGTATTAGTCAACCTGTGATTGTTCTTTTTTTTCTGTTATTCTGTTCGTTGTTTGTTTGTTTTTTTCTCTTCGAACTGAACAACCAATCTTTAGGCGATTTGTTTTTTTTTCCATTCTTTAATAGCCAATAGAGGAAAAAAAAGAATATTCATTTGATTTTGTTGCAGATAATTTGTGATTATGACTGATGCCGGATTCTTTAAAGTATGTATTATGAAATTAAATTAAGTAGGATATAATCACTATTGAAATATATTTTAGGGTACTTCGGCTGAACAAGATAGTCGATTTGCAAATAAACAAAAAAAATTACTTAAACAAATGAAATTTCCGGATAATATTGATGTTAAAGTAAACGAATGATTCTTTTGTTTTTTTTTTTTTTATTATTTTAAAATGAATTTATTTTTTATTTAGATCGATATGTTAAAAGTTAATTTAGATACATTAAAATCATGGATTACAAAACGTTTACAAGAATTATTAGGTATTGAAGATGATGTTGTTATTGAATTTGTTTTTAATCAACTAGAAGATAAGGTTTGGAAAAAAAAAACATAATAAAGAAATTTTTCTTTTTTTTTTTGTATCTTGAAGAATCCTGATCCAAAAATGATGCAAATTAATTTAACCGGTTTTCTTGGTGGAAGTAAAGCTCGATTATTTATTGGTGAACTTTGGAAACTTTTAGCTAGTGCACAATTATCAACGGATGGCATACCAGCAGAATTTGTTGAAATGAAAAAGAGAGAATTGATCAAACGACAGGTATAATTCATTGAAATTCTCAAATATTAGCTTTGTGGTTAATTCGATAGATTTTCTCTTTCGACAGATCGATCACCTATTTTTAGGAACAGAGAACATGATACAATAACCACAGGCTTCGAAAGGCATTCACTCTTGATAAAATTGCAAATTTTTCGTTACTTGGTAACGTATTGCCCCTAGTGTTTTTCTGTTGAGGAAAAAGCAGAGTTTGTACAGATACTGGAATACTGATAAAGGATCTATTGGAATATTAATTACATTGATATCTGCGTTCGCTGCAACATTGTTGCCATTTTTTGTAGCGATATGTTTCAGTGAATACTAGTGACAATGTATCAGTTTTAGAGTCCGCCGAGTCCAAAATGCTCGGAATCGAACCGTACTTTGCTACTCTCAATGGAATTCTCTAATTGGAATTGTATAATCACTCCGAATATACGAGATACTTTTCGGCTTTTTGTATTTGGCGATCAACGCCGATCGGATTGGTTCCGGATTCAGATCTGAAATTTTTCTGTTAACCGGGCTCGAAAGTTTTCGATCCGACGAGCTCTCATCAAGTTATATACTATCTACACTGAGTCGGTTGCAGAGATATGCGGAACTAATTATTATTTCTCTTTCTCATAGTCCCGATCTCGAATATCTCTAGTCAGTAATCAGTAAATTCAAACTGCACATCCTAAGAATGATATATTTTAATTGTAAGGATGATTTCAATTTAATGAAATAATCTAGGAAGAAGATGATCGATTACGTGAAATTCGCAAACGTGAAGAAGATAGTCATCGACAAGATATAAAACCTGATATTGATAAATTAGATAATAAAACAAATGGACGTAATTCAATGGTATCATCAAATAATAATAATAAATCACGTAATGAAAATGATGTTACTACTGAATATAAATCACGATCATATTATGATGGTGATCGTGATCGACGACGTTCATCACCAAAAAATCGTCGAATACGAAATTCACGTAGTCCAGATTTAAGAACACGGTTAGTTTTTAATAATTTTCACTTTCGTTTTAAAGAATTTTTTTGTATTTAGACATAACGATAAAAAACCAACTCGACCTATTTCAGAAAATAGTGAAAATGAAGATAATCATCATCATCGACATCATGAAAAAATAAAAGAAAATCTTAAATCATCATCAAATCGATATGAACGTCATCGTTCACCATCAAAATCTCCTATACATAATCGAAGTCCAATAAAATCATCACGAAAAAATGAAAAACGTCAACAACGATCTTTATCACCTTCACCCGAACCACATAATACATCATTTCAAACAACAAAAAATCTAGAAAAAATTAAATCTAAACCTAAAACTCGTTCATCATCTTCAAGTTCAAATGACAGTTATTCACGCCAAAGACATGATAAATTATCACGAAAGAAAACCGATGATATATCAAGTGAAATAAAGCGACAAAAAATAAATGAAAATAATAATTTAACAAATGATAATCAAATTAAAAAACAATCTATATCTAAAACAAAACGAAAATCACCTGCACCTTCGCCTCCACGTTCAAAACAATCAATAAAAACTTCTTCAAAATCGATATCTACTATAGAAAAATCTAAATCAAAAGTATCACCCATTAAAGAAAAGAAAAAACCTAAAAAACAATCAAAACGAACTCGATCATCATCAATAAATTCATCATCAATTTCACGTTCAATTTCAAATTCTTCTTTTTCAAGTTCAACATCATCATTATCGTCTATATCTGAATCAGGAAAAAATAAAAAACAAAAGAAAAGTAAGTTTAGAAATATATTTCTCATTCTTTCTACATACAATAGCTCCTAAAACTTATTCGACCAGACTTTTTTCCATTGCTGTAGATAGTAATTTGTATAGAGAATTTTATTTCCTACAAGAAAAATGATTGTTATATTTCCAAGAGTAGGGTCTCTGAAACCTAGTTCCTGGAATTAGGAAATATAATTCTATTTGAATTACCCACAACGATAGAACAAATAATATTTGCTATTTCGTATAGAAACATTATTTTTGTGCCTTTCGTAAAATTGATGTATATCAGCGAAAAAACGTTGTAGAAATCTAGAAGATGTTTCATTTTGTAGAGAATTGTTTGCTCTGCCATTCTGAGTAATTCAAGCAAAATTCTATTTGAGAATTTCAAGAATTAGGTTTCAGTTTTCTAGAAATCCTACAATCAGTTTTACCTTGTTCGAAATAAAATTCTCTACATAAATTACTATTTACAATAGTGGAAAAAAACCTATTCCAAAATTTTTGGGGAGGAGGGGCACTATGTAAAATTAAAAATTATGAAATCATCATTTCTAAGAGTTGATTTTCTTCATTCAAACATATAAAAAATTTTCTACAACTAAAATTTGATTATAATATGAAACTTAATAAGTGTCTTTCTCTATTTGTAGAACCACAATTAACCAAAATCGGTTCATCAAGTCGATCACGATCATCTTCACCGGATCGTAGTCGAAAGTCCGACAAAAAGAAAGATGATCATAAATCAAGAAAACATAGTACTCATAATAGGTAAGTTTGTATTCATTCGACAGCTAGTGTCTTTCATTTTGTAAAATACAATCTAAAAGGAGTATTCAAATGTAAAGCTAGAAAATTTGTTCGGCAGATTTCCGTCGAAAAGACACTGTCTCCTACCACTTTTTCGAGTTTTCCATCTGAAAACGGCTCGTATTTCCACTGGTTGTGACAAGTCGCAACAGAACTGCCTTAGGTCATCGCAAAGAAACGCGAATACAAGTTTTTGACCAAACAATGAAACGTATGTAGGTTTGTAAAGGAAGACTTCTTCTATTAGATGATATAGGTATTATCAAGTTCTATTACGTACCGTAGAGATGTTGATAGGTGGCGCCACCTGTTGACATCTTTACAGTACACCTTAGAATTTGAAAATATCTATATACAGACGAAGTCTTCTGTTACAAGCCTATCTATGTCCCATCGTTTGGTAAAAAATCATCATGGAACGTATAAACGCCTTTCAAGACTGTCGTTCATATTGCTTTAACTCTCGTTACTTCATCAGTCCGGTTGTGAATGTGATTCTTCTCAGTATCGTAATCCAATCACATCCAGCAATCCATTCTCTATCTATGTGCACATCCACATTCGGAGTAACGAGAGTTAAAGCAATATGAATTGCATTCCTGGAGGATTAACTAAACAGATGCTGAAGAAATGTGTTCCAAAATAGATAGACTAATGCAATCTCTCTGTAATTAATAACAACAACTACATTATGTTTTACATTTGGCCGTGGTCAGCTAGCCTGAAACCCCAATTTTTATTTGCTTATATAGCTTCAGCCAGATATCAGAAAAATGTGTTTTTCTTACTAATTATAGTACATATACAGTGCTAATTATCTATTATTGTTTGAGCTCTATATACATATGATATGACAATTTCGAGAGAATCAAGATTTTTAGAACATGTAGAAGAATCTGTACAAAGGATATATGGGTGAAGAGAATACTTAGTCACTTCAAGAAAGAATCCTCATGGACGTGAATTAACTGCAGTAGACAAGAGTTTCAATTGTGATATTAATAATACAAGAGCGGCTATTGAAAATACTCTTCAAACGTCTCAAAACCTATGTTATTTTTATTAGTGCTTATCGAGAAGCTGTTGATGATTTCCATAAGATAACTAAAACCGCACAACTTGTTTCTATCCTATGTAATATGTACTTGAAAATAAACATCCCATTTGCAAATAAATAAGATGATAAGTTGTATTTTCTGATTAATTACTTGATAATAAAACTCTATAACTAATATTTAATGTTGATTCAAATTTCTTAGTAATGACTAGTATATGCTAACAAATTAGATGTAAGCTACTTTTAACGAAATGATGATAAGAAAACATTCAGTAACTCTCATTCATAGTAAGATATAGAGCTCAAACAATAATAGATCATTAGCATTGTATATGTACTATTACTAGTAAAAAAAATCATATTTTCCTGATATCTAGCTGAAGTTGCATAAGCAAATAAAAATTGGAGCTTTAGACTAGCTGCAGAAATTGCGCTAACAGTTTTTTCCTTATTTACTTTATAACGAAAAAAAAAACTTCTCTATGATAAATCTATTGTTTTTTATTTAGTAAATCTTCATCAAGAAAACGAACAAAACATCATAGAAGTAATGATAATAAACGAAAATCTCATCGTGGTAAGTCAATTTAATCCTATCTATTTTAAATTAGAAACAAATCGATAGAAAGAAAACAAAAAAGCCAAAAAAAAGAAGTTGTCCAATATGTCTATATTGGACTTTTGAGCGTTACTTTATATTTTGTTTCTAGTCTTAAGCTCTATTGCAAATGGGAGCCCATCAATTTAGATCACCTAGACAAATCAATAACAAAAAAACAACATCGAAATGAATCATCGAAAAAGAAAAAAGATAAAAATGAACATAAAGAAAAAAAATATTCGACTTCATATCAATCACCATCAAATAACGAAATTTCACAATCACCACCACCATCACCAAAAAGACCTCGACTTGAATCTCAAATTAAAGTACAAACACCACCACCACCTAAATTACCTGATGATAATGTTAGTAATTTATTTTTCATATAATATTCTTTATCTATTTATTACTGTAGAAATTACAACAAGAATTAATTTGTCAACCGTCTACCCCGATCAAACCAAATCGCACCGAACGAATTGTAAAAAATTTAAATTTTTCTATTTATTTCATAAACTTTTTTTCTTCTCTCTTTTAGGTTGTATTAGAAGAGTCTCGAACTGATGGTAGTGATTCAATTTCAACACGTGTATCAATTTCAACAAAAATCAATGATAATGAAGAACATCAAAATAATACTAATAATAATAGCGAAGATGAAAATGAAATTGATTTACGTGAACGTCTATTACGTGAAAAAGCAATTAAATCAATGAGACGTCGTCAAAATTCTAATATGAATATAAATACAAAAACAACTAATGATCGAATTGTTTATGAAACGCAATAAATAAATAAAAAAATCTCTTTATATGTATTAGAAAAAACAAAAACTTCAAATGTTTTGTTCATATTCACTTTCATTCTTCAAGTGTATGTGTGTGTGTAGCCATGTGCATTGTTTTCTTTTTTTTGTTCTTGTTCATTAAAACTTGTATACTATAAAATAACATAAGTTTAATTAAGAGTAATGATATAGTAAGATGCTTTATTAAAATGAAAGAATATTATCTACAAGACATGCAAATACGTTTGTGACAGTTCAAGTGATTTACAGTAAATTTTTATAATTTTATTGGGCACTCATTAAAGTTTCAATATTTGAACATACAGATTTTAATTTTATTATTTATCTTTTTTTGTTTTTGTTTTTGTTCTCTACGTTATATATAAAACTTGTGTTGCCGATATGGCACCACAAATACTAAGAAAACTAGCGACAACAGTTATAATAACAGTTGAACCAGCTAAATGAACAAATGTTCCCATTGTTAATGATAAACATAATTGTGCCAAAAAGACCATACTACTCACAACAGCAATATCTGTACCAATACCACGAACTTGTTCATTTCTATTTAATCCATGCGATTGATCGAACTATTTTTTATTGTAAATAAAATAAACAATTGATATTTAAAACAAAAAAACATACTGTATTTGATGTATGATATTGTGAAATAAGTAAATATGGAATAGTAAATAATGTTGAATAGAGTACACCAGCAACAGCTGATAAAATAATAACTCCAATACGATGTCTTAAATATCCCATGAATAACATTCCAATTGCATAGATTACTTGAGATCCAATATAAACTCGTTTAATACCTTTTAAAAAACAAAGCACATGATTTAAATTAAATCTTTTAATTAAAATTTAAATATACCAAAATAATTATTAAGAGATTGAATATTATATGAATAAATAGAACATGATATTGAATAGATTGACATACCCCATGAACCAAATCGAACACCATCATTATATAATAATCGTAATGGATGATTATAATCAAGTTTTGGATTTCCACCTAAATTTTAAAAAAAAATATTTAATTTTAATTTCAATTATTTAAATATTACCAAAAACAGCTTGTCCAACAAAATCCGTAAAAAATAGTGAATATGAAACTAATGCCATCCAACAAAAAAAATTTGTTAAACAAAGCCATCTTAATGATGATGGCATATAAATAATCGATCGTATATAATCAAAATATGATACTTTTACATTATTTCTTGATGATGTTGATGATGATGATGAGAATGGTGATGATTCATATAGATTTCTATCATGATCATCATCATAAATATTTCTTGACGAAACAATAAATTGACGTGATGCTGATCGAGCAAGATTTGATGTTGCACTTACAATATCAAATGGTTCTTTTGATGCTGTTAATGTCGAAATCATACAAATGATATAAATAATCCAAACTAATGTAAATAGAACATGTATATGATCACCAAATACACCTGTTAAAAATGTATGTTCCCATGGAATTCCACCAAGAAAATATCCTAAACAACCACCTAAACCAGCCATAAATGTAAATGTTGTTAGACCTGATGGATGTTGACTAGGATTTGTAACATCAAGTAGATAAGCACGACTTGGACTTTGACATGCATCACAATCAAGATCAAGTAAAAGAATACCAAGTATAGTTAATGTTGTACCATATTTATGTGATAATAATGAATTAAAATATTTTTGATTTGTAATATTAGTTTCATTAATTAATTGAGTATTATTAATAATTTCATTTTTTATATCACCAAACCATTCTCCCATAATACGACCTAAAAAAAAACAAAAACTTAGTTTTGTCTTTTTTTTTTTTGTTAATTTCATTTTTACCGTTTGCAACTAATGAAAGACCAATTAAAATACCAATTGAATAAAGAAATATAAATGGACGTCGTCGTCCAAATCGTGTATAGCATTTATCACTAAGTGAACCAAGTGCTGGTACAAGAAAAAAACCAATTAACGGTGGTAAACACCATGCCCAAGTCATAAATATAACTGGTAAACCCATTTGAAGTAAAATAGGTGAAACAAAAGCTGTTTCAGCTGCATAACAAAATTCAATACCACATACAACAGCACTTAAACGTATAAGATCAAATTTACTTTTATAATTTGTATCAATATTATCATTAAATTGTTCATAAGAATTTCGATTTCGAAATTGTCGTCGAAAAAAATCGATCATTTTTTCAAAGTAATGAGTTATATTAAAAATAAATTGTGAATATAACCAACCTTTAATAAAAGTGTCACGCACAAACTCGTTTGCTGTTCATCATTAAGATTTCATTTGATATGGGCTCATGCACTTTGACAAAAAAAAAAACAAAACAAAAGAAGAAGAGATCTGCAAGATCAACATTTCTTTCTTTCCTGGTTTTTTTTTAATTATGCGTCTTGCATGCGACATGGAACGTATACAAAATCAAAAATCTAATTGCTTTGTATATATTTAGAAAAAGATAATGGAAAAGTATTGATGCTATTGATTAAAAAATCTGATGTAGATTTTTTTTCTTTCTATTCAAAATTAAATTCTATAGAGGATTACATAGATTTGTCTCTTAGGAGTTAATCAACTTTATTAATGTATATTTTTGAAGTAAATATTTTCTTGACGTGTGATTTTAAATTTAACTTATAGAAAGATTCTGTTTCTGATCGATATACGATATTTCCGTTAGTATTAATTAATGTCGGAAGAGAAAATGATAGATTTTCTCATTGTCTTTCTTTAGCATAGAAACGTTCAGTTAATGATTTTGTATGTGCTTGAATGCTCTGTTTAATGAAGAATAATTGAAAAAAAAAAGGAAGATGCAGCACAATTGTCACTGATAACATATTTCAAATCTAGCGTGACTTGGAAAAACAAATAGAACTTCGGAAGATAGTAAACAATTAATTATAATAATGTGGATTTAATATAATTTTACAATCAATCTGAAATTTTCAATTTTTTTTTCTTTATTAAGTGCGATCCTACTTGGTAGTAAAGATATCACTGATAACCTTAGGTTCCTATTTATTTAGAGCATAACAAAAATAGTAGTTGTTGTAGATCAAAGTCAACAGAAAAGAGTTAATCAAGTTTTTATTCCAGTAAATATTTGAGTTAGTAGCCATGCTTAATTACATATAATTGATTTATTGAGAATATTTTTCAAAAAAATCTTTGATTAAAAAATTCATTATAGTGATAAGAAACTATTCCGATCAATTAAATTTTGTTAGACATGGATGACTTGAGAAATATAGCGAATACATCAAGTGATAGTAGGTGGTAAACTTTGAATGTGTCATACATACATCGGTTTAGATTCTTCAAACTAGAAGAATTGCAATCGAACAACCTGTATATCTTTAAAAAAATTGGCAGATATAAAAAGAATGGAAGCTTCTAAACACCAATTCTACATCAATAATTCCCTAGAACTACTTATTAATGAAATGAGAAGACAAAAGATCATCGGCTAGCACTCAACACATCGAAAGTCATTATGATAACGTCCAACTATAATGGCGGACAAAAATTTAGAGCAACTGTATTTTTAAATTTTCTTCTCGATATTAACAGCCAGAAAGAATCCGAAAAATTTGTGTAGCTGAAAGACTTCTCTTACATGATATGTAGGTCTGAAAACTTCAGCAAAACCGCTTGAATGAAGATCTGCGGACAACCGAGACTCTCAAAAGCAGATCAATCAAACAGGTGTGGATGTGATTGAAAAGGAGACTCACACCCTCTAAAACCACATCTATCTTTATTACAATCCTGAATATAACCAGCGATATATCTTGATAAGTACCTAAAAATCAAATTCCGAAAAGACTCTAAACACAAACCTTCAAAGGTCCAAACTAGGTCCTTGTATGTTTCTATCACGATTCCGATCATGATTGGTATTGTCTTGTAAAGATTCGAAAATGTTTTGTTCCTGAAAAATTTGACGTAGGATCGTACTCGAAACTTGACAGGGATTTCTCAGTTTAGAATTCTAACTAATTTTATTCTTTTCTTGCTAAGATACTCGTTATGATGTAGCGATAAATCCTAACAGGATCATAATAAAAAGATTTGGACGAGATCTTAACATGAACCTGATATAAAACTTTGGCAGAATTCTCTCTACGATTCTGGGAGTGAATCCTGATAGAATTCCACATTCTTATATTGAAAAAAAACCTGTCCAGGAACTTGAACAAATCTTGACAAGCATTTTATTTAACTATGAGAAATTCTCCAAAGAAGAATTATTAGGACTCGAGACAGAATCATGAATAAAACTTGGTAAGATCCTGACAGACTCTTTCAGAATTTAGGCTAAGAAAATGATACTGTAGATAGAAATAGAACAATCCACATGGAGGCCATAAAAGTATACGTAGATAATTGTTATTGTTGTCAAGATTTATTTTATTTTTAAATGAAAACTCAATCAATTCTAGCATAGGATACAAAAAGTATTTGTTGTAACCGTATTTTAATACTATTCTCAAAGAAAAATTATATGAAACTATCATCATTAATTTGTTTTACAAATGAAATATAATACCTATGATTTCGAGTTTCTTTTTAAAGCTTTTAGTAGTTTTAAATAATACGTTGTATGAATAAGATGAGATTACAAACTCAATAAACAATACTATTGATTGGTTAGCAAAATATTGAAGATCAATTTAAGACTGTCATTTTAATTTGTATGAATAATAAAGATAACTGTTAAAAGAACGGAATAAATGTATATATATATATTAGAAAATGAGAAGAATATAATTATAGATTAGATCTTTGAGCACTCATTAAACAGCACAACAACGAGATTCTACCTACTTTATAAAAAAGAATAAATTAAAAATACACAAAAAAAAGGAATCAGGTCAAAGTCTCTTTATTTCTTTGGTGATTCTGTATTTCTTCTCGGTGGTGTATATGTTACTCTTGATCGAAGATCGAAGTCTAAATCTTG